CAAAACTTTCCTTTAAAAAAAAAAAAAAAATTTGGGGGGTGGTTGAAAAACGGAATTTTTTTTTTAAAAAAAAAAAAAAAAAAAAAAAAAGCTAAACTATAACTTAAGTGACTCTGTGCTGACTAAGAATCTTCTTCAGTGTGTGCATTTTTTCCTTCATGCGTTTCATAGTTTAATCTAGATTAAGAATAGAAAGTACAGAAATCAAAATAGCTACGCTACCTTTATATAGCACTTTGACTTCACTTAAGCTGCTGACGAAGTGAAATATTTAAAGTGTTCATTCACCTGGAACGCATTGTAAATACTCTAGATTAGTGGTTTGGTACCTCATAGTGTTAAAGTCACTCAGTGTGCAGTCTTAAAAACCTTTTACAGAACTCCAACTAAAGAAAAATATGGTGAAGTGCATTTTGATGTAAAAGCTAGAAAAGAAAAAAAAAGATTACATTTTATATTGAACATTAATGCCACAAGTTCTTTAAATTATGCCTCTGTAGCTAGCATACAAAGTTTAAGACTCACAGGTCTAGATCCATGATTCTCAAACTGCAAAAGTAGTACCACTTATTAAACAATGAATACCTTTAAAAAATAACCCAACAAATTAATCTGCTTTTAATTTTCTAAAAAAAAAAAAATCTGGTAAATAACTGGGCTGAATTAAACAGTGAGCCTGGAATAAATATTTCCGCCATTTATGCTTTGGTCCATTTACCTATGAAGTTGAAACTTGGTTCTGGGTACAACGTCAAACCCAAATAATGTTCTAGTTCCAAGTTTAAAAGCAGATGTTTTGTTTAGTTCAGGCTACTTATTACTGACATCAAATTTTTTTGCATTTCATTAAAAGTGGCAACATGTTTTCTAGAAGAGGCTGCCCAGTACTATGGGTTTACAATTTAACTTTTTTACAGCTGCTAAAACTACATTTTAGGACCATTTTATGATTTGTCTACTTGAAAATGCTTCAACCAATTATGTAGAGTCATTGGATACAATTTTGTGCATTTGATCAATCATGACAAACTGAACAAGTCAAATTTAGGTTGTGCTACCATTTTAAGTTAGCACAACATGACTTAGTATTTACTAGCACTGATTATAAAGAGTGCTGCTCTAGCTGGAGATCTTATTCCAAACATGTCTGCATGACACAGAGATCAGGACAAAGTTATACAAATATCTTCAAAACAAATGCAACCAAATCCTAAACCTGGGGTTTCATTTGGAAAAAAATATATATATATTTTAAAGATGATTTATAGCTTTGTTCAAAACATTACGGTTGTTAATTTATTCCCTACAAACTAACCACACTACAGACTTCAGTTAGTTTAGATGCAAAACAATGCTGTTGTATCAAAGTGCAAGCTGTGCTTCTTTCTAATGTAAATGTTTGACCTTCCAAAGTTGGATTTGTTTTGTTGAGTCAAGTTAATTTTATGAATGAAACCCAACTTCAGATATCTGAACCATTTTGATATAAACATACTGACTACAAAAATACAAATGGTAATGCAAAATACAGATTTCTTAATTCTACATGTAAAAAATGTTATGAATTTAGATTCAGTAGACCACCACATAATGTTGCATAACTTCCCAAAAATAATCCACTGTTTGCACTGCCAGACAAAAACTGACATGATGCAGTGGATTCAACAGAATCGTTATGAGTGATTTCTTGTACCGTCAAAGCAGCACAAAGTCTCCGGACGTAGTGAAGGTTCTGCGTGCATCCCTAGGAAAGTGCCATTCCCGCTTCTCTGCGCTCAGATCCACCGGCAGCTCATAATCTGTGCTGCGACCTTGCACAAAAGTAAACGCTGGATATTTTGCTGTCGGCTCCAGCAACTGGAACAAAAACAGCAGCAACTTTTATTTTGCATTTTTACACCAAAGACAGTGTTTTGATGCTAGTTGAATTAATTTTACTGGTAAAATAAGTAGCTTAAGCACAGACAGATATAGGCAGGAACAGGGCTTTTGAAATAGCTGTACAGCTGGATGACAAGTCAATTAGATTTGTGGCTAAATGCTGCCACCTACTGCTCAGCCAATGTAGGACTAGCACAATGAAATTAATCTAGAAATTGTTTTAAACAAAAACCCCATCAAAACCAATATCTGGAAATTAGCACTACAAGTTATTTCAAGGTGTTCTGAGTTAGAGAAGGTTTCTTTACCTTGGACAGTTCTTCCCTGATTCGCTCATAATCTTGAGCGCTTTTAGAATAGAAACCAAAAGTGCAGCTTGGATCCATCTTGCTAAAAGGCATCTTCTTCGGCGAGGGGCAATGGTATGACTAGCAAAATTAAGAGGGAAAATTAAAAATCTAGACATCAAAATAGAGTAAATATTCACACCTGTCTAGAATACAATCTTCACTTAATGAAAAATCTTTATCTGCACCAACATGTATGCATTTTTCAACTAGTCTATTGCAATGTTGTAAGGTGCAGCATGAACTGAATGAATCAATAAAAAGTAATTTTTTTTAACTTGCAGAAATTCAACTCATATTTCTCATTTTTCCTGTATGCTTAGAAAAATGCATATTAAAAAAGTTGGTGCTTTAAATGAGGCAATATTGTGTTTTCCAGCCATAGTGTTATAAAACAACCGTTAAGAAATTGTACTTCCCGATTTAACATCTTGAAATTGGTCTTCGTTTAAAAACTCCTGCTCTGAAACTCAGCCTCCTGGAAATTAATCTGTCATCTATTAATCTGTTTTTACCAGCATTGCACTGAGAAGTAGCTGGAATAATTAGCTCAGTAGATGTGCAGTTTCACCAGGTGTGCTAGATAGTCTGATGGAGCCGAGTGGGGGAGTCGCAGGGAAGGGCTGCTCTGTGAGGTGGAAGTTCAGAAGCTGCAGCTTAAAGGTGGAGCTGTGTCCCACCAAGCTTTTTGGACAGCTAAATAGTTGCCATGGGAGATTAAATGATCTCAAACGTGCATCAAAGAATCAAACACTGCAGGTATATTCTTAATGTGGGAGTATTAGAATATGATGCAGACCTAAAAAAGATTACAAACTTCTCCTTTAATATCACAAATGTATCCAGAACATGGGTTAAAATTGCTACACCATTTCGGTCAGTAAATGACTCGCTGAATGTCTAAGCACCAAATCCAGTCTCAATCAATTGCTACTGCATCAACCTTCCAGACCACTCAGATCTGTTTCTGGTCAACTCTCCATCTCCAGAAACAGAACCAGACAGGAGCAAGATTCATATTCTATCCTCTAATCTGGAACAAACATTCAGAAAACTGCAAAATGGCTGCAGTTCTTTTAAACCAACCTGGGCTTCAACATTTCAGCAAAGCCACAGGCTGTTCATGCAATGATGTAGCCCCAAACAGGGGGGGGGGGAACCCTTTACCAGTGTTATGCAATTTTCTATCTTTTAAGGAAGTTAATTTGGGTTTTCATTTGGTTTAGACCAGTCAGTTGCCACAGAACTAAACACTTGAAATGCACCACTGAATGTCTAATGAATCTGTAAGATTTCAGTTAAATCTGCATTCTCAGCATTTCTTGGGTGGCAGCTTCACTTACCTGAGCAGCAAATAAATCAGCCAATACATACTCTGATTGGGTGGAGTGCTGCTTTAAGACACACCTATAAGTACTAACAGAAACTATAAAATCCACATCTACTTGGGCCCTCAGTCAGCTCGTCTGTGTAATTTTACATTACCTGAAGAGGGAAATCGCTGGTACTGACATTCACAAAAGACTGACAGTAATGAGGGTCCATGTAAATCAAGCTGTCATCTGCAAGGACAAAACAAAAGACAAGTTATTCAAACACATTAGATTATTGCAGAGAAAAAAAAAAAGTGCTTCTCCTCAATATCTATGCAGAGCAGCTCAAAGTCACCCACCGGACCTACATGTTGGGGTTGTGTGCGTCAAATGTGCCTTCAAGAAGGCTGTTGCTTTTTAATATCCAGCAGGGTGGATTAAAGTCTGCATAATCAGATGCGTTTGTACAAGCACATTTTTTACACCAGCAAGAAAAGAGGCTGTCATTTAATTTTTGTGTGGGGAATTACTTTTACAAACACGCAATTATATTCGACCGTTTTGCATATGATGAATGCAGTGCTGAGCTGTGCACTGGCAGGGAGAATGTATTGCTTGTCATTTAGACATCATCCAACACTGTATTTCAAATGGGTAAAATGTAAATGCGTAAATATTGACTGCCAAGATGTACAACTGAAGGTTTCTCCTGGCTGCTGAAGGTGATGAAGAGTGGCTCACTTTGGGCGCCTGGATGAAATTTAATGCATGCCGCCTATGGAAATCAATTATGGTTTACAACTTGGGAGGTTTACTTGTGATAAATGGACGAGGTTTTGATGGGTCAGAGAGAATAAAGTAAGCCCCGCTTCACTCGGTTTCATCTCCACTCCTCTTCGTTTTCCTCATACAAACATGAATACATTAACTTACTTTGTCTCTACACATACAAAGGGTATATTATGCAAAAGATAATTTGTGAATGCATCTCTCAGTTTTCCATTATGCTGCCACTAACCTTGAAATCCGACAAAGTAGCAGGCATGCTTGGGCTTCCCTCCGATGATTCCTATGCAGTACTCCAGATTCAGCATCTTCTAAATGAGCAAAGAAGCACATATGTCTGAATTATAGCTCAAATTATTTCATAATGCACTGCAATTAACTCTGGAGATGAACCAAGAAATGAGCTTGTGACCTAAATAGGCCAATTTTCAGTTTGACCACTGATCGATGTTTAACGTTTTTATTACTTTGATTAAATAAATCAGAACAATCTCTGGATCATCTTTAAGCTGAATAGTAGAAAAGGACTTTATTGCCTGGTGACAGGTAAAAACTCTAAATGTGATTTTTCTGCTGAGTGGATGCACCACACCACATTAACACTCTTCAGTATTGAAGTTGTTACAGAAGGAAGCAGATTTAAAGTTAAACATTTGATCTCAGTGTGGTGTTCTGAAACAAAGTCACAGGAAGCACAAAAGGCATACAAATATTGAATTTGACAGATTTCACAATTTCCCTTTTTCTAATATAAATTCGAATTAAAAACAAGTATTTTGGCTAATGTTGATTTAAGTCGTCATTTTAATCAGAATTGGTGTAATTCAATATCAACCAGTCAGCTTTACAAAGAGACCTGAAATCATCCACAAAACTGATCTCAGCAAATGTAAAAAAACATTCTAAATTTGCAATTTACAACAATGACTATCTTATGACAAAGATCACTTTGACTCAACATTAACCCTATGAGATCTTAAAAAAAAAAAAAAAAAAAAAAATCACTCACTTTTGCAAAGCCAAAATACTCCGGGTTTGTCCTTTCTCCTCCCAGCCTCACAGGTATGAGGATGATGACTGCTTGGGTCTCTGGCAGCATGGCGGTCGCTGACAGTTCAGTGTGTTGTACAACAGCAGGACCCTCTGCTGCCTCACCTGAGGCTTCTCCTGCCTTCGGTGCCTTGTGACAGTCCATGACATCCAAACTGTACACTAGAAAAGAAACGATGCAAAAGTTCAACTGAGTGATGTCTGTGTTTAGGACACAAGTCCATTTTAAAAAATATTTTAAGACATTAGGCTACTTTACATTCTCATAATTTGTCCATATGACAAAACTGAACTACGTATTGGGCACTATTGGAGAATTTCATACCATTTTGTTTGACAAGCCACTTAAAGCTTTCAGTGATCTTGATTTTTCTTCAATAAACTCATTTATAACATTTACAAAAGTGCTTTACTCATTTTCAGTCTGAGGACCACCATAAGGTCAAATCATTGCCTGAATTGATCAGAACACTTCAGAGTCGTTCTGAGCATTCAGGATCAGATGTTGGCTTGATCAGTGCAGACCTGCAAAAATGCATCCACTCTTTTCTGGAGTGAGTAGGAACCTTAAATTCTGTTTTACACATTTTCTCTCAAATATCATTTTTCTTTTTAACAGTCATTATTCCATCCAAAAAGCATGTCAAGTCTGTAGAGTGGAAATAAATGTTTAGACTCTTCAGAATTAGAAAAATGTGCATTAACTGTTTCACCAAGGAAACAGGTCAGATTTGAATGAAGAAAACTCCTCTCCCCTACAGAAGTTTCAGTTAGTAAAGTAAAATTTTTACAAAGGTTGACCGATTTCCAAAAGAATCAAAAGCTTTAACGTTTCTCACTGCAACTAGCACTACTGCACTAACAAAAATAAAGCTACCAACTCACAAACAGCCATCTTCTGCTATTAAGACAAACATGAATCAGCTGAGATACTGAGGTTAAGAGGAGGTCATGGCAGCACGTTATGATTTGAAATGGATGTGATTGTTGTGGGGAACAGACACACCCTGTCCCCCACTTTTAGCAGCTGGAATCTCAACAGCAGAACAGAGGAATAAAAGCAGTCGACTCGGGCGCCGTGCCCAGTTTCCTGTACCATCAACGGCAGCATCATCTTTTATACCTGTGCAGTCCTGGGAGACGTAGACAGTTATACCCGCCAAGCCAGGCTCCGTCGCTTCCTTGACAGCTTCCCTAAAACAAAAAGGCAGGAAGAGAAGACAGAGGCAAGTAAGAAAAGGAGAGAAACTGAGGGAGAAAGCTAAGTTTACATTGAACAAAAAATATGGGATATTACTACTTTTATGTTGAAAAGGGGACATTGCTTTGAGTTGTGCTGAAGAATGTTTTGTCAACAGTACACAGGCACGTATGATACCAAAAGAGCCATGGTACAACATTCATAGAGCCACAAACACCGTTCCAAAAAAAAAAAATAAAATTCTCATTTGTAATAGACTTATTCAGGATGCCACTTGGTTTAAAAAAAAAAGTGAGATAAGAAGCTGTGCATAGTTACTATTTTAATCATATTTGAATTTACTGATATTTATCGTTTGTCTTGTGGAACAAATATAGGAAAAAACTAAACATTTCTGATCCTACTACAAGTTTATTTACAATCAAAAACTGAAACTTAAAAAATCCTGACAAATCTTAAATATAATGCCAACCTCTAATGGATTTTTATCTCCTCCAACATGTTTGTCTTGTTGTGGTTTTCTGATTTAAATGTTCATAATTTGTATATGTTCTAGTCATTCTAAGTGAGTTTTTAAGGTTAGGTTGCATCAACTTAACCTGGACCATAGCATAATGCTAAGCGCCATAAAAGTTGAGACTGAGATTTTAATAGTAACTTGAGTGCAGACGATTACTTAAAATGATCGTCTGCATAGCACATACTTGAAGGTCAAACTTACTTCAAGATGTGTGCTACCAAAGCTGGACCATACCAGTCCCCTGCCTGTTTTCCCATTGCCGATCCTAAATGGACCAGTCTGTGCAGGCCCAGTGGAGCTGAGGAGACATCTGCAAACCAGGACACCAGATTTCTGTGGTACTCCTCGTTTAAATGTGTATCCGCTTCCTCTGCGAATCCCAACACCTGGGCTTGAGGTGCAAGAGACGCTCTGCTTTCAGAAATCCTGGAGGTGCTCTGCAGAGAAGCCTGCATAGAGGTGACAAATCGCTTAGCTGCTGTGGTGGTCCGTGATTCTACATCTAAAGGCGGGAGGGTGAGCGCCTCTGGCCAACACCAGTCTGCAGAAAAATGAAGGTTGGGTCAGAATCCTCCAAGAGGTTGGTCAGTGGATTGAAATCAGTATAATTAGAAAACCAATTCTATGCATTTATGTTGATTACAAAATTCCTCAAGTTCCCTACATTTTCCTCTCAAATATCATTTAAAATGCAAATAAGTCATTTATTCTTTAAACCTTTGCAGCTAATCAATTCAACTTTATAAATGCAGAATAAACTGTAGGTGTATCGTTTATTAATTCCATTTCTGCATAGTCAAGGTAATCTGGAGCCAACTGGTTAAAATGTTTGATCCAATTGTGACAACATTCTACATTACCCTCAGCTATAGCTTCTGATGAATACATTGCATTTTCCTCATGCAAGCAATTCTCTAACATTTCCTTATTCAGCTGTGTGTAAGATGGCATTTAAATTACACCTGAACTTGACATTATTGGGCAGAACCATTTAATTTTTTAAGAGTTCTCATTTTCCATTATAAGCTGTTGTGCTCAAAGAAATTAATGTTCATTTTTGGCCAGGCCCTAATCAACCATGTAATAAGCCTGCTCTTTCTACATTTCTAACCTCAGTTTAAGAGCATTAAAAATAAAAACTCATGCAGGCCTTAAAAATAAGCCATCTTGGCTCAAGAAGCCTGAATTCTACTCATTTCAGAAACCGATTAGTCACAATTTGGTCTAATTATATGTTTGAGTGTCCCAGTATTTCACTTTAACATTACCATAGCCTTACAAACAGGGTGGGAGACGAACACAGAGCGAATGGGAGTTGACCAGGTAATAACCCAGAGTCAAGTCAGAAGCAGTAACAAAATGACCTTGATTCAAAGTCAATCAAATTTAAAATTGATCCATAAATACCCTGAAGTGGACCTTCATATCTTTATGGGGAAATGTTTTATTAGCGACAGATTTTAGAGCAAATTTAAAAAAAAAAGATTTTTAAATTACTCCATTAGTCAGTGAGACTGTAAAGGATATAAGAAATTCCCTAGTTATACTTTTGCAGCCCAATCCCATTGGTACCATTTCAGGAAGTTGTTAATATTCCACTGAACATCAGTTCCATCTAATCCAAGCTATGAAGACATGCATTACTTAATATGCATCCAAGCTTCATCTACACCACAGGTGTCAAACTCCAGTCCTCAAGGGTCGCTGTCCTGCAGTTTAGATGTGCCACAGGTACAAAACACTGGAATGAAATTGCTTAATTACCTCCTTGTGTAGACAAGTTCTCCAGAGTCCTGCTAATGACCCAATTATTCTATTCAGGTGTGGTGCAGCAGAGGCACATCTAAAAGTTGCAGGACAGCAGCCCTTGAGGACTGGAGTTTGACACCCCTGATATACACAGTTCTGCAACAGATGGTGTTTGTTATACTTGAAGGAAAATGTATGTTAGTCAAATGAAACCGCCTTAATGCATTTAACCCTTTGGAGTCTTACACATTTTGATTTCTCTGACAAACTGATTAAAAACCCTCCAAACTCAAAGACTGAACTGAAACAAATGGACAGAAGTTGAGAAAAAAAAAAGCAATACGAGTTATATAAATAAAAGTTTTAATGTCTTATTAAAAACCATGCTTTGGAACACATTACATTGATTACAGCTGTTTTATGGGCTATAATGCCATTCCCCTTATTCCACAAAGGAAAGGCACCAGTGCAGCACCAAACCCTATAGAAATATAAGGTTGAGAGCTAAAAATTATGTTTACGGGGTGAAATGTAGCTTTCAGTTTCAAATTTAGACTGATGGAAAAACAAGCTTGGTTCCTGCTTTCAACATTAGAAACATGCAAAAGTGTCAGACTTTTGTCAACTTAGGACTTTAATTTAAAAAACAAAATGTTCATCTAGTTAAAATGTTGAGCGATCCAAGCTTAACTTTTTTAATTTCTTGACTCACCTCTGCCCAAGTAGTGCAGAACAAGAGCCTGAGCAATCATCATCTGCCCGGCCCTCAGCATGCAGCCCCAGCCACAGTCTGAGGTCAGGGTGCTACCTGGCAGCGGAGGGAAATCTTCCCGGTACGTCAGCCACAAACGAGACGCAAAATCCTTTCGGAAAGCCTCTACGTTCCCCATGACAGAGAATCCCTGAAAGTCTTCAGAGGGATAGTCATCATCTTAGAAAAAAAAAAAAATGTTTTAGATGACTGCAATAAGTTAGTCAAATTTTCAAAATCAGTGCAAGTTAATGCAATTTATGATATTGTGCAACTTACCGTCTGCCTTAAAATGATAGCACTTTCCCAGAAGAAACACTGGGGAGCTTCTACTGAATGCAGTCTTGGATTTAAGTGCCCAACCTAGAATACATAAACAGAACACGTATCAGGACTTTGTCAATTTACTTTAAAAGGGACCTAAAAGATTGCATTTACTCAGCTAAGTGAGAAACCCACTTTATAACTGCCACTCTGTGTGACTAGAGTTTCATGCTACCTACCTGCTAAAGTCATTTCATCCAACTTAAAAGTTTGTAAGAACTCCATTTTGAGTTGAATTCATGCTAACAGGAAAAGAAAAAACTGTTAAACTAAAGTTGCAGTTATTCCCAGTAAAAGATAAATTCTCAGTAGTGACTCAACCGCAGCATGTTCCAAGAATTATATTTAGGTGCTTTTTTCTTAAGTTTCTTCCAGTCACAGTAAAGCTGCAACGAAAACCCAGCTTTTGACTTTTGTCATAACGAATAACTTGTTTCAGCAAGTGATGAGATACTACCCGTTTCTGTAAAAAAAAAAATAAAAGCGTTTTAAACTCCGCCTGGTTGGACTGCCTTTGTACTAGAACCGTGTAAATTCATACCTAGGTGATGAATTTACACTTACAACTGCATGTTTCAACTACTCAATTTTTGAAAAGTTTTGGGATCTTGGTGAGAAATCTCAATTAGCGCTGTTAAAATATAAAGACATAATTTGCAGCACTGCACTACTACATAGATGCATGCCAGCACTGTACTACATCGGTCTGCGAGCCTGCAGAAAATCACTTACTGTACTTCATGTTGTGCCACATTGACATGAACTTTGTCTTCAATTTTTCCACCTCGTCGCTCCCTTTATTCTCCATCTGGACCAGCGAGGGAAAGCACCCATTCCCTCACAGCAACACCAACCTGACCTTTGTGCAAGGCAACAAACATACACACAATTTAGCTGCGATATCACTTCACTTCGAAGTACTACATAAACTGACAGCTTGCAGAAAAAACGCATACCTCAACGATTCATCAATGCAATGATGTTTTCTTGTCACAGACGCGCTGCATTTCTGTCTTCAAGTTCAAACGTGGTATGGTGTCATAAAACATGCAATATTTCCTTCATAACCCGCTTAACAACTTTGGGATCTCCCGAGAGTAGCAATACTTACGCTTTGAGGAAGTACGAGCAGTAAACCTCGCGGTTTTTTGTGAAGCGGGAATGGGAGTTAGCTCGATTTATATACCAAGGCAGCCCAATCAGGCGGAGATTAAGACGCTTTTTTGTCTGCAGTTTAGTATTTCAATTTCAATTAAATATTTCGACATTTATTTTTTTTAACAAAATAATCGCCATATTCTGTTAGAAGCATATAGTAAATGGTACATATAATGTTTTCACTCTACGTCAGCATGAGTAGTATTAAAGAGGACGTATTCAGCTATGAGTAACAACTACTTGAGGGGTGCGCAAAGTCGGTCCGGTGCGTGTTTTAGTTCTCTCCCTGGTTTAACACACCTGGATCAAATGATGGTTCATTAGAGGCCTAAGAAGAACTCTGACATACTGAAATGGTTGTTACTACCACTAGGGAGAGAACTAAAACTTGCAGGATGCCGGCCTTCGAGGACAGACTAAATTGAAAGAAAAATAAAGGGATAAAAATAACAGCGATCCCAAATTTACATGTAAGCTAAGGTCCCCCTGGTTCCACATTGCGCTTCATCTTATCATCATGCAATGTGTACAGTATTATACTGCTTTTTCTCTTACATGTCAAGAAATGGTGAGGTACCTAGAAGAAGATGTATTAAAAAGTGCAAACTTCACCAGCGTAGATCAATGTCAGATAGAGAAATGTCAAGAAATACTAGTTTTATGATTAACCCTCCTTCTTACTCCTTACATCTTAAATTATGTCACATTCCAAGCAATATTAAGAGGAGATGCTCAATAACTGTCATAGGCTAGCGCTATGTGGACAAAATATATATAACTAGATCATCTGCTTGCGTCAAGTGGCTAAAAAAGGCAATAACAACTGAACATCCTGTTCCACAGTCATTAATCAGCTCTATTAAATCATTCATGAAGACTTTAAAGAGAAGACAAGACAAAGTTTTTCATAAAAAAGGGAAGGTTCACTGAAAGGACAAAATCCTCACCAAAATTTGGAAAATACTGTAATGAACTTATACAATAACTTTTCATGACTCACATATAGTCCAAAGATTTATAGACATCAATGAAATACATACAAATTGCCTGTCATATAGATCTAGAATTTACTTTTGATGAAAAACGAATGCTTCTCTGCACTCTACTTTAAATCTTTGCCAAAGATCCAAATAAGATGTTTCACCCACAGTTCATTGAAAAAACCCTGAATGCTATGGCCTAGTAATTTATCATGTCTTCTATTTTTCTGGATTTATATCATATAAATCTGGAGAAAGATCTTGCTGAAATCCAATATGTTTTGAAGAAGAAGAAAAAAAAATAAATTTTTACCTTGTATATTTTTGCTCACAGTCAATATTTCTACTTTAAACAATTTGAATCAGAAATCTACAGTAACTTATGCTTCATTCTGATTCATTCCTTATTAACAATAGTACTAGCTGTTTTAGGAATTTGAATTAGTAATATGATTAATACTTTGTAATCCAGAGGGCTCTTTTAAAAGGGTGTACACTGATATTAGAGAAACCATTTTCTGAGCAAGAAGATGCCAGAATAGTCGAATCACAACCCTTGAAAGTTGTTTTTTAAAACTTTTAGAACTTCTTATTGACATGCATAAATAGAAAGCTACTACTTCTATGCTGCTACAAATAATACTAATAGTACTCTACTACACACACACACACACACACACACACACACACACACACACACACACACACACACACACATATATATATATATATATATATATATATATATATATATATATATATATATATATATATTAGTAGTAGTTCAACTGAAGCTACAGAAAAGTGCGAAAGCTCATTCTTGGGTGTGTTCTGTTGCGTACTACTCCTGCCTTTACGGTAATGATCCCATTCTCCCGTTGTCCCTGTGGCCGTGTTTTTTCTGAGTGAAGAGCAGAGTGCCTGCCTGGGAATTTTCTGAAAGCACATCAGCGGCCACTGCCATGGCTGAACGCCGCGCATTCGCCCAAAAAATCAGCAGGTAAAGACCGGAGACTCCGAAATGAGCGCTGTAAATGAACACTTCTGAACGCCCTTTTCTTTTCGCTTTCATGTGGATCTCCCTCAGACCACCGCTGCGGGGAAACCCTGCTAAAGGAGGCCCAGTAGCCTGGCTCCTCCTAGCTAACCTCTAGTTAGCTGTAGCGGCAGAAGATGCTCAGACCCACCCAGACATACAGCTGTTCTGCTAGCTACTACTTTCAAACTACACTAAATGCAAACAAATGGTTGATGGGAATGTGTATACGAATATATTTTGGCATGACAAAAATATTTCCGATATCTGTCCTATCCTTAAAACGGCTGAACTATAATGAAAGGAAAACCGTTAATTCTGGTCTGTTAGCTGTCTCGTCTACAGTAGCTAACGATGGGAAGCTACTGTAACCGCTGCTGACGCTCATAGAACTTTGTGGAGCTATGTGTTTAAGATGTCTGTAGATCACAAACGCGTAACTTTGATGATTAGAAACAAATGCCTTTCCCAAGAGCAGCCAAACACTGTGATAATCTGCTCCCGGCTCCTCAGACAGATCAATGTAATCTCCTTAACAAAGGGGCTTTGTGCAAGCTGTCAAATGCCACCGTTCCTTCTATTCTACACTTCAGCTGTCCAAATGAACGCATTTCATCTTTTTTTTCTGATGATTTAATGCACAGACAGGCAAGTCACTATGCATTTGTTAAAGGAAAACACTCACTTGTTTGCCGTTTCTGAATTCTGTGTGATAAGATCTGATGAAGAATGAGGAAATCTGGAAATTATGAGGAAGAATAACATTCTGCCATCTCTTTATGTTCTTTTAAAAAAAAAGAGGAATCAAATCACCAGTTGTGTTTTGTATCATTGTGTACATTTGGCAATTGACATTGTTGTCAAGATAAATCTGATAATAAAACCAAAATGTAATTAATGGTATCAAGTATTAAAGTATTATATAGTGTACACACACACACACACACACACACACACACACACAATTACCATATTAATTGAACACAATTACCACAACTGTGATTTAAAGATTACTAGCTCTCTTCAAAATATCAGAATTTTAATTCTGAACTGCAACCAGTGTAAAATGTTATATCTTGTTATAATTGTACTTAATTAAAAATAATATTTTCTGCATTTTGTAGTTAATTGTTCGTTTGTTTAACCTTAAACATTAATGAAGGACATAAGGTTTCTAAGCATGATCAAAAGACATTTAGTCAAATAAACTCCTTTCAGTTGGTAAAAACAAAATCATGTCTTGGCAGGTTTGCATTTATCCAGCAGTTTTAATTCTGAATAGTGGATTGATGCATTTCTGGAGATTTTTTAGTTATGTTTTAGTTATTTTTAGCTGTGTTCCTTGATCTTCCTGCTTGCTTCACTTTTCAGATCTTTATTTGTATAAAAAAATGAGAAAATCATCTATCATTAACTTCAAGTTCATATTTATGTGCTACTATATGTTGACTTGTCGCATAAAATTCCAAAACATACGTTGGTGTTTGTGGTTTCAACATAACAAATTGTGTCAATGAGTCTGAATACTTTCTATTGTACTACATCAGGAGACAAAGGTGTTTTTAGTGTGACAACAAACCTCTACTATTTAATATCTACCAACTGAGTCCTAACATGTTTTTTCTGCTTTTGAGTTTCTTGTCTTGAAATGCTCAAAAATACACAAATACAAGTCAAACTTTTGTTTACTTTACTTTCACTGTAGTGAAGGCTGTTTAAATGGTTGATCTTATTCATCTTACCGAATAACAAAAAAATCCGTCTAAGGCATGTTGATGCTTGTGAAAGTTTTGATTGCGTGACACTAAAAGCAAACTGAATGCGTTTTCTTAAACACGCATCATTGTGACCCTTGTTTACTGTGAGTTCATGTGTTATTTCTAGGTTTCTAGGTTTTAATGATGTCCAGAAGTTGTGGCCACAAAGCTATCGTTTACTGAATAAAGTTAGTCTTCTGTGTGCAGTGAGCTGTGCCAAAATTTTAAGGCACATGGGAGGACTACGGAATGTGTTTGTCACTTCTGCTTTTCTGCAGCCGTGACAACTCTTCACTGTAGAGGCCACTGGATCTACAGCTCCCGAACTTTATCATACTCACATTAGACCGGCAGGTTGGATCATAGTGCTTATTTTGACTTCTGTTTGGTAGCTTTGCCAAGCTCTCTAACGCCACTTGGTTGTTTACATTCTATCTATGATGGAATAGATGTGATTAGGTTGTCTCCAGAAAACAGAACAGAGTTTATGCTAGCTCCCTGACCTACTGTATATATTGCTTTGAGGATAAATCTGTTAAGTAACCAGAACGTTGTGTGAATCACCAGGCTGTTTATCATGTCATTTCGTTGGAAGTGTTGTGCTGAAAAACCAGAGACGGAAGAGAAAACCCTCTAATAAGTGGGGCTAAAATGTGAGGCTTAACTTGCTTTAACAATCTGTAATATTACAGCCAACTGCTTTCAGCTTTGCTTGAGGCAGTTAACTAACCAAAGCATTTAGGAACTCTAGTAGTTTGCGTTTGATTACATCATAATAACAAACTAATTAGATTTTAAACCATATTATGTAAATAAATTGATTTTGTCCCAATAAATTTAAATAATTACATTTAAATATATGGCACACACAGCTGCTTTTTATTGTTTGATACATTCACATCAAAATGAAATAAAATTGTATAAAACTGATAAATATTAGAGATGCACCAATTGGGATTTGTTGTCAATTTCCTGTCCTGGCCTTTTGAACAGCTTTGATCAGTCAGTGCAGAGTAGCCATAAATCATCTTTTGGAACGGAGGCAGTTTGACAGTGTTTGAGTTCAGTTTCTGTAGAATAGAGTTTTACAAATACTTATTAGTTTGATTATTAAACTTGAATCCTGCATTTCTTCCTTGTTCAACCTCTTTCCATCTCCTGTCTGATTACTGTCACTAAAGGCCTCTACTTCAACAACAACTTTTTTTAAAAAAGGACTTGTTCTCTTTCACCCTTTCGCAGCACATAATGAAGCACAGATATGTTTCATGGGGTGGTAAA